AGACTGTGGGGGCGATATGCTGACTCTGTAAACCGCTTAGAGAGGGCTGAAAGCCCTATGAAGCGGTATATAAGTCTAACTGCTATTGCTATGACTCAGATCCTGGATTAATAATAGGATTTTCTCTGTGGTACAGTTAGTCCCCGACTTATGACCACAATTGAGCCCGAAATTTCCACTGCTAAGCGAGACCATTGTTAAGTGAGCTGTGTGACACTTTTACAACCGTTCTCGCCACCGTTGTTAAGCGAATCACTGCGCTTGTTAGGTTAGTAACACGGTTGTTAAGTGAATTGGGCTTCCGCCATTGATTTTTCTTGCCATAAGGTCGCAAAAGACAATCATGTGACCCAGAGATACGGAATCCGTCATAAAGACAGGCCAATTGCCAAGCATTCAAATTTTGTCCACGTGAACCCAGGGACACTACAGTGATTGAAAGTGTGAAGAATTGTCATAAAGACTTTTTTTCAATGCTGTTGTAACGGTCACTAGACAAATTGTTGTAAGTCGAGGATACCGGTATAGGAGAAAAAGAGATGGAGAGATACAATACTCGCAGTCCTCAACTTACAACTACAATTGAGCCCCAAATTTCTGTTGTGAAGTGTTGTGGCCCGCTGGCATCCAGCAGAGCTGGCAGCAGCGTCGGACAGTGAGGAGGTTGGGGAGGAACATGGGCCAGTCCTGGGGGGTTGAGGAAAGCTCAGACGAGGGCTCTGCATGGGAGGCAGAGAGGGAGTTAGACAGCAGTGAGGCAGAAGAACAGCTGGAGCCTGTTCCCAGTGTGCGCATGCGCAGAGTTGCCAGAAGTCAAGAACAACTAAGAAAGCAGGATCGACTTAAGAGTAAAGCAGTGGTGGGTTGCGACCGGTATGTACCAGTGTCTGCCGGGAGCACCGGGTACCGTTCCGTTCCGGTGCTCCAGAGGGCCCGCCCGCAGCTGGAGCATCGCGGACAGGGACCTGCAGTCAGGGGAGGCAGGGCCTCACCAGTGTCATGAGGAAAAGAAAAGAATTTTTAAAATAATTAAAAAGGCTAAGGTAGTTACTGCCAGACTCCAGAGTCACAGTGGATGACTCTGAGTCTGCTTAGTGCTAACTGCAGGGGGAGGCGAGAGAACTACGGGCCTCCTTTGCATAAGGAATTTTTTGCCTTTTAACCCTTGCTCAGAATTAAGCAAGG